TCTGAGCTTCCCCGCGCACCCAGCGACCGGGCCGACGAACACATCGCCTTCCAAGCAGAAGTCTGGGGCCGGGGCTTTCTGTGTGGCCACCGTGGCTGCCGCTGCTGTCAGGCTGGGTCTGGGCAAGACTCTCATCCTGCCCGAGAGACTCAGGGCCCCGGTCCCTCGCGGGGTGTCCCTCGCGGGGTGTCCCTCGCGGGGTGCCGACTCACCAGGATGCTGCGGTTCCCTTTAGTGAATTCTCTGAAGGCCTCGGTGACCTGCTCCCGCGTTCTGGTCTTCTTGAAGTCCCGGTTCACGGAGCCGTCTTCCTTCTAAGAAGAAGCCAGGATGGGGTCAGTGGAGGGCGCGTGGGCCCAGCATCGGCAAGGGCGGCGCTAAGCCCAGAACTGACCCCCGGGCAGTCATCGGAGATTGTAATTTAAGACCTTTCATCATAGGTTCCCCAAAAGCCAGGAAGTGATGCCGCCTACCGCTGATCCCGGGTCCACGCAGCGCGTGAGATCACGCTGCTCCTTAGGCCCGCACCGTCCCCTCGGCCCTACGCTGTCCCCTCGGCCCCGCACCGTCCCCTCGGCCCCGCGCCGTGCCCTTAGCAGTGTCTGTTCCAGGGCAGCATGCGGCGCGTCCCTCCTCCAGGGGGAGATGGGAGCTCTGGGGACAATGGGTAAGGAAGGAAGGCTCCCCCAGGAGCCCCCACACCTGGGCCTGCGCACTACCAGGCTGGAGATTAGTGAAAGCCCTGGGCCACCTCTAGAGGAATAGGCGGGGTCTGGGCGCGGGGTGGCTGCAGGGTGGCCTGTATCTCAGCTGAGCCTTTCCCGCAGGGACCCTGAGGGGCGTTTCCTGGAGCAAGAGAGGGGAGAGGCAGGTGGACTGCTGGTGAGGACAGTGGCTTCTCTCAGAGCTGGTGGCCCCCAGCCCAAGAAGACGGGACCGCTGGCTGTTCCTGCAGCTGGACAGTGGACAGAGACCAGAGCATCCAGCTTGAGAGGGGGAGGGGAAGGGAAAAGTGGATCGTTTCCCACAGATAAAGGACAATGAGCATGAAGGGGAACACGACGAGCATATAATCTGCATCCAGTCTGAAGGCTGGATATGAAAAAAAGAGAAAAGTTGGATTTAGGAGACAGGGAAGGAGCGAATGGCTTTCTCAGCCCCAAGCTTTAGAGCAGCTGTCCCGGGGGAAGGCGAACACTTTCCCCCGCTTGCCACCATCAACGGCAAGACACTGACAACCGCAAAACCTCACACCTGAATGTCATCTGCAGAGAGGCTGCGGAGCCTGCCCTGGCTTCAGCTTGCCCGTGAGTCAAGGCTCCCAGCCACCCGGCCCTGACTGTAGGGCTGGGCAATGTGAGCCAAGGATGGAGAGACAACGGAACCCCAAGAATGCTGCGGGGACCACCATCAGCTCCGGAGGGACGCTGCCTGAGACCCTGAGCGGCCTGGCACCTCCCTGCCTTGCTACTTGGAGTGAATGCACGTCTTCGAATCTCACAGCAAGATGGGGGTGGATATAGGGGGAGCATTCTCAGACCCCTCTCGGAAGACTGAAGAGGAAAGAAGAGAGAATGAGGTGGTCCTAAATTTGGGCGTGGCCTCGGTGCAGCCTCGCCAGAGGTGTTTGCTGATGCAGAGAGCTGTGCTTGCTCGGGCACAGTGGGGGTCATGGGTAGGACGGCAAAGGCAGCTGCATACTCCCTCCCTGGCCTGCCTCTCATGGCCAGTCCCCAGTTTTTGGGCCACGAACAGAATGAGCTAGGTCTCCCTCCTGGCATCCTGCAAGCTGGCTCCTGGGTGGGTTCCCAGTGCCCAGCATAGTCTGGGCTAAGGGAAGAGTCCCTGGCAGCGGGCCGACTGCTGGCAGAACCAGAAGCCATAGCTGCTCCAAGGTCCCAACCCCCTGCATGGCCGCCCCCTCCGTCCCCAGACAGAAGAGTAGGCCAGTTTCTCCAAACGCCTGTCCCTTGACCTGGCTGCTCACACCTGGGCCTGAGAGGGGAGGAGCTTACAGCCTTCGAAGGTCCTGAGAGCAGCTGGGACCGTTGTGGATGCTGGCAGAGCCCAAGCCCCGCATCCCTTCTCCCCCTGGGAGCTGGGCGGCCAGGCAGCCTCACCTTGATGCCCTCAATCCTGAACCCAAGGGTGGCTGTGGAGCTGATGGTCTCCCTCCACTGCATGTACCGCGGCTTGGTCACGGCCCGCTGGGCTTTCTCCTCCTCAGTGGGGGCCTCGGGGTCCACCTCGATCATCTTCTGGTACATGTCCTTCCGGAGGCTGGGCTTCTTCCGGGCCTTGGTGAGCTCTTCTTCCAAGTAGGTCCTGTGTGGGAGGGGAGGTCCCGTGAGGGCTGCTGGCTATACCGTGCCCATGGGAGGTGCCAGGCAGCTCCGTCAAGGCAGGCTCACCCAGGTCAGGCGCACCCTCAGCTGGGGCAGGGGCTGGCCCCTGGCTGAGAACAGGGGCGGCCTTTCCGGGTGGGGGCAACTTCATGCCAAGACCACCAGGAAGGCCTGACACAGCCCCGGGAGCCCCTCCTCCCGGGCGAGCCTCACGGGGGCCGGAAGGAGGAGGCAGGATAGCGAGGCGGGCTGCTCCTGCTGGAGTGAGGCTGGCAGAGGGGGCTGTGGGCAGGGTCCACTCAGGGCCCCAGCTGTCCCCACTTGGCTGCCTGGGACCTGAGGGCTTCCGAAGCCAGCACCTGTGTGAGTCGGAGCTCATTCTGTCTCCCCACCCCACCCACCACCCCGGGGCTCGGGCAGCCTGAGGGGCTGAGCAGACCCTTGAATGTTCCTGGCTCTCTCCAAGGAGGGAAATCTTGCCAGAAGGTGGCCTCTGAGGAGCCACAGTGCTGGAAGGAGAAGCCCATGACAAGAGGGCTTCTTGGGGCTCTTTGGCCCCTGTTCTGTCACAGATTCGTCCCCAGTCCATCCTACCCTGTGGGCACCAGGCCTTGGCCCAGCCCACGCCTCCTCACATCTGAGCCCCCAGCCCGAAAAGCTGGCGAAAATGCGGCCAACTGCATAGCCAGGTGTCCACTCCTCCCTGCTTGTCCTGGGGGCCTTGCTCTGCCATCCCCCCAACACTCCTAAGCTGCTCATGTGGGGCCCAGAACAGACCGAATGACAAATTCCTGACGTCTTTGAAAGATACGTTTCCAGAAACCACTCTAACAACCGATATAAACAAAAAACCGAATGCTCGGGTATGACCTTGGGCCTGGTCAATCAGGGCCTTCCCAGAGGCGACGAAGGTGGTAGAGGACCACTAGCCCTTGGCTGTGCACTTGCACACATGCCTGTGCCCACAGCCACACGTGCGTGCTCACACACTAGCGGTGCGGTGATGAGCTTCGAGGTGGAGGCTGCGAGGCGGGGTACGTGTGCACGGAGCCCCATGTGTGTGTGTGGGCCCGTGTGGGGAGACGCTGAGTGGCTGGGCGAGGGGCTAGCCGTCCCAAACGCTCCGACGCACTTCAGGGGCCTGCGGGGCGGTGGGCGGCTTCACTTCTGCAAAGAGCTGTCAGAAGCTCCATAAGCAGGAAGCCAGCCTTGATGTCAAATCCCTTTTCCCATGGGCTTTCTGCACAGAGGGCCCTGGCAGCTCCGTCTGGGCAGAGCTGCTCATCTTCCAGGAGGGGAACAGGGCTGGGCGGAGGTGCCCGCAGAGTCATCAGCTGGATAGTCGGGCTGGGGGTCCGCCGGGAGACGAGCCACAGAGCCTCCCCACGCTGCCCTGCTGCCCGCCCGATCCCCCCAGAGGTAAAGTCAGAGCTCCATCTCGCATGGTGGGGGGCAGGGGGTGGAGAGACAACAGGTGATACACCAAAGCCACCCACAGCTTCGAGGAGGGCTGGAGACAGTCAGTGATGGTCTCCACCCAGCAGACCCTGGTCTGGTGTCAGGAAGATACCTCTGACTTTTTAGTGGCGGGTCACAGATTTACAGGGTCAAAGCTAAGAAAACACAGATTTACAGGGTCAAAGCTAAGGAAACTCCCCAGAGGAATATGAGTGTCTGTCAATGTGGAATTGGGGCGAGATGCCCCTTGTTTAGGATGCTACAGGCGCCTTAGGCCCCACTGTGCCTGAGGCTGGGTTTGCCTATCAAACCTTCCACCACTGCTCTGTGACAGTGCCAACCGCCCATGTCTGGGACTCAGTGTCTGTGGTGGCCCCAGGCTCTGGCCTCCTCCCTTGGCAGGGACAGGCCATGCTCTTGGGATGGCCGTGGACTGTCCGTCTCCGGAGAGGCTGAGCCCCGCGGGACCCAGGCTCGATCTGCGGGCGTGCGAGGACTGTGGGGCCGCATGGCCCTGAGAGGTCCCCAGGCCCCTGGTGTCGAAGCCCCCTGCCCGGCCCCAGGGTGGCCGCGAGGAGCACCCGGCAGAGTGCTCAGAGCACAGCAGGGCTTGTCCTTGGGATCTGCAAGGCCAGGAAGGTAGGGCTGGTGGGGGAGGGACTGTTTATGGGGAGACCCACGTCCTCCCCTCCATGGGGGCTCCTCCTCTCCCCCGACTCCCTCTGCCTCCAGACCCTGCCGGGACTGGGTTAAACATGTCCCAGCTTCACTGGTCCCTGTGGGTCCCTCCTGAGAGCCCCCCGATGCAGTGGGACAGAAGCAGGAGGCAGGAGAACGGGGGAGGAGGCACAGGGGCCGCCCTGGGCAGAGGGGGTCCTGTCCCCGGCAGTCGCCCAGGGACAGACAACTACAGTCACAGGGTGTAGTTTTTTGGCCACAGTCTGAGTGAATACCATACAGAATACTTATCTCCCCTTGGGAGGAGCGTCCTGGGCACCAAGAGGTGGTAGCATCAGGGGGGCCTCAGGGAACAGAAATAAGACTGGGGGAGAGCAGTGGCCACGCGGGGCTCTGGAGGAATGTTCTGTCTCCTCCCTGTGGCCCGGAGCTGGTGAGAGAGGGAGCGAAGGAGGCCAGGACCTGCACTACTCTGTCCCCCGTCCCTGGCCTGGGGGCAACACCAAGGACCACAGAATGTCAGCACGCAGGGCCTGACTTTAGGACACAACTCCCAGGACTGAGGAGGGGAGAAAAACCGCTGGGCTTGGCCCCTCTCTCTCCTGGACACACGCACACACATGAACAGGCACACACATGAACATGCACACGCATGAACATGCACGCACATGCATGGATACGCATGCGCACACACGCTCGCGCTTGAACACACGCATGAGCATGCACACGAACACACCATGAACACGCACATGCGTGAACACACACGCACACACATGAACGTACACGCGCATGAACATGCACGCACAAGCACACCCGCACACACATGAACATGCACATGCATGAGCACGCGTGCACACGCACACACGAACATGTACACATGAACACACATACGCATGGACATGCACGCGCATGAACACACGTGCACACACACATGACACGCACACACGAACACATATGAACACACATTAACACATGAACACATGTGCATGAACACACATGCACACAAACACACTCCTCTTTCTCAATCTCATAAGAAATAAAACTGCCAACCCAGGAGGCAGGAGAACGGGGGAGGAGGCACAAGGGCTGCCCTGGGCAGAGGGGGTCCTGTCCCCGGCAGTCGCCCAGGGACAGACAACTACAGTCACAGGGTGTAGTTTTTTGGCCACAGTCTGAGTGAATACCATACAGAATACTTATCTCCCCTTGGGAGGAGCGTCCTGGGCACCAAGAGGTGGTAGCATCAGGGGGGCCTCAGGGAACAGAAATAAGACTGGGGGAGAGCAGTGGCCACGCGGGGCTCTGGAGGAATGTTCTGTCTCCTCCCTGTGGCCCGGAGCTGGTGAGAGAGGGAGCGAGGGAGGCCAGGACCTGCACTACCCTGTCCCCCGGCCCTGGCCTGGGGGCAACACCAAGGACCACAGAATGTCAGCACGCAGGGCCTGACTTTAGGACACAACTCGCAGGACTGAGGAGGGGAGAAAAACCGCTGGGCTTGGCCCGTCTCTCTCCCGGACATGCGCACGCACACGCACACGCACATGCATGAACACACACGCATGGACACGCACACGCACGAACACGCACACGCACGAACACACACACACATGTAGGGATACACACGCGCACACGGTCGCGTGTGAACACACATGCATGAGCACGCAGATGAACACACACCATGAACACGCACGCACACGCATGAGCATGCATGCACACGGACGTGCACACACAAGTACACACACGCGCGAACATGCACATGCATGAGCACGCACACACACATGAACATGTACACGCATGGACATGCACACGCATGGACATGCACGCGCATGAACACACGTGCACACACACATGAATACGCACACACATACGAACACATACGAACACACACATTAACACATGAACACACGTGCATGAACACACACTGCACGCGCATGAACACACGTGCACACACACATGAACACGCACACACGAACACATATGAACACACATTAACACATGAACACATGTGCATGAACACACATGCACACAAACACACTCCTCTTTCTCAATCTCATAAGAAATAAAACTGCCAACCCATCCGAAGTGAACGGGCTCCAGCTCTGAGCTCTGCTTCTGAGCCCGGCCTCCCCCGGGAGATGCAGACAGGTTCGAGGAGCCCCGCGTCTGGCCGTCCCACCCAGTCCAGGCACCTGCATCCAGGTGGCTCTGAGGCAAGCACAGCACACTGGGTACCCCATGGTCGACAGCCCCAGTGGAGAAGGGGGAGCCACACGGAGTGTGGCCAGGGCGCCCCGGGCTCCTGGGCCCCGTCCTCCATTGTGCTCTGAGGACAGCACAGGTCCTCTCTGGCGAACTAACACAGCCCACCAAGCAGCTCTCTCTTCCCTCTGGCACGGGGGAGCGGAGGGGACCAGAAGAGCCTCTACTCTGGTCTCGCCCGGGCTCAGGTCACAGGAAGCCACCACCTTGCTGCCCCCAGCAACCCACCCGGCCAGATGGGCAGCTCCTTGGGGAGGCTCAGCCCCAAGCCAGGGCCCCTGGCTCCTCCCGACCTCAGCTCACTGGAGAAAAGAGGGGCCCTTCAGGGGCACTGCCAGGTTCCCGTCCCCTCTGCACGTGACGTGAGACAACTGGAGTAGGGCTGGGGTCCCAGGGGTGCGACCAGACCCCCAGGCCCGCCCTGCACACACGAACAGGGAGGCCAGGCCTCCTGGAAGCCTCGGAGGCTGGGCCAGCATCCGCCGTGGGGCCAGGCGTGGGAGGAGGCGCGTGTCCCCGGGAGCCCGGCTCACCTGACACCCATCTTGCAGTCCATCACACAGGGCGAGTCGAAGTCGGCCAGCAAGTCATCCATCTGGTTGTAGCGCTCCCCGTCCTTGACCACGTCCCCGTGGTAGGCAGGCACGAAGGGCTTCAGCACGTCGGCCATCAGCCGGTCCAGGCAGCGCTGCTCTGACTCACAGTGCTTCTTCAGGATCCGGCCGTTGGCGGCCGCCTTGAAACTCCCTGCAGAGCGAGGTGGGAGGAGGCCCTTGGTCCTCAGGTGTGGCCCTCCCCACCCCGACAGCCCCCGACAGTGGTGGCGGGGCCTGGGCCCTGTGGGGATGCTCTGGGGCTCGCTAAGCACAGGGTAAAGGAGTCTGAAAATGGAGGGTCGCCAGTGCTCACTGCTAGAGGGTCAGCAGGGCTGGACCCTCTGTGCCAAGACCTGGTCACTCCTCTTTGCAGAACGACGACCATCCCCAACCCCCATCATCGACCCGCTTGTGGGTGACGGTGTCTCCGGCCTCGGCAGAGCAGAAGCCCTAACAGGACTGGACTCAGTGCCAGGATGGCCGAAAAGCAGGAGTCCAGGGCTCGTCCGCCTGGGCAGTGTTCCTGAGCCCCGTCCTTGGGTAAGGATTTGGGAAGGGTGTCCATCCATGTGACCTGGGCTGGACATTGTGGCCGGAGGTGTAAATGAAACATCGGCCCCTGTGCTGGCCTGAAGTCAGGTGGGTAGGTCCCCAGGTGGCCCCTGGAACGCCCCCAGAAGATGAGGTGCACCAGCGGCCCCCACGCGTAGACAAGACAGCTCTGGGGCTTTGGCTCCAGCTGTCCCTCCTCCCTGTTGTCGATGGGCTAACTGGAAACCCCATGGGTGGCCTGGCGCCCGGCCGCCTGCACCCAGCTCTCCACCCTGTCTGCTCCCCACGAGCTGCTTCGGGACGGACACCATGTTTCCATTCATGCTGTGACCCCTAGGACCATGGCCAGGTGGGCATACAGTAGTGCTCAGCGAAGGGGCCAGTGCTGTCTCTTTGTCCAAGACGACAAAGGGCAGGCAAGCCATACGGCTGACGGTTTCATCTGTTTTACTGAGTTAAACTGGGAGACAGAGAAAGAGACTGAGAGAGACAGAGACGGAGGCAGAGGCCGGGTGTGTGCATGGTCGGGGGTGCGGTGGCACCGACTCTGCAGAGGACAGTCATGTGTGCTTTCAAGGCAGCATTAAGGCCACGTCTGGCAAGTACGGCTGCAACTGCCATCGCCAGTTCTCAGAGAGAACTGTCCCACCGCAGTCGTCCCCAGGAGCATCCAGAGACCGGCCCTCCCTCCCACAGGTGCTAGGTGACTCTCCAGAGAGCTAGATGTCCCCAACAGGAAGTCCGGGAGAACTGTGCTACCTGCGTGTCCCGCCAGCTGGATCCAGGGGTACTTCTTCTTGAAGGACATGACAAAGGGAGACCAGTGCACCATGTTTTTGATTTTCCTCCATGATTTGCTCTAGAAACAAGCGAACGAGAAGCTCCACGTCAGAAAGACAGCAATTGCTTTCCGGTCAGATGAACTCGAAGCAAGGCGACCCACGCCAGTGGCCACAGGATGCAGGGCCACGGCCACCGCGCAGGTGCCCTCGGTGGCTCCAGAGACCTCGTCTCTGTCACCTATGCAGCACGGAGACAGAAGCGGATCTGCAAAGCCTGTTTTTACACACGGCCTGTGCAAAATGACCAGAAGAAAGGGGACCTTTGGGGACAAGGGTCTTACAAGTTCTGGGGGTGGGAGGCGAGGTGGGGTTGTGGCAGGGAGCCCTCAAGTCAGGCTGACGCCATCCCATGCCACCCTCGCCGGGAACAAGTGAACACACAGCGCCCTTCTTCAAGCCCCTCTCAGGGCCTGAGGGCTGGACGGCGGGCCCGCCAGGCTCCGTGGACTGATGGACACTCAGACTCTTGAAAATAACCTCACATCCCAAGCATGGCCCCTCGGAGGAAGACTAGAGAGGGCCCGACACCCAGCTGCAACGTGTCATTTCATGTTTCATTGGTGGACGCGGTGGCAGCAGAAGCACCTCTAGCCAGTGAGCGGTTTGAGGAGAGGTTTTAAAGGGAGTTCCCCAGGGACAGCACCCCCATCCCTCACCCCACGGGTGCACAGGATGAGCAGGGCCACAGGTCTCTCCTTTTCACTGTACTTCTCCTCAGGATGTGTCGGAAGCAAAAACTGTGTGTGTGCACACGCGCGTGTGTGCACATGTGTGTGTGCATGTGTGCACATGTGTGTGCACGCACGTGTGTGTGTGTGTGCAGGTGTGTGTGTGCGCGCGCACGTGGGCAGGACAGGCTCCTTGGGCAGAAAGGAGAACTAACATTCATTGAGCACCTTCTTGCTTTCGCGGCGAGCATGCATGCAAGGTGGTTACTGTCATCCGTAGACCCCGAGCCTCAGAGAAGTAAGCGACGAAGCTGGCATCTAAACCCTCACCTGTTTAATGACTTTTTAAAAAAAAATCCCTTTTCCCCCCAGCAATAAACCCTGCCTAGAAACAAATATCCCTACGTTCACTTTAATAAGAACAGGCGACGGAGGTGAAGATCGAGCATCCTAGAACCCCGAGCCCCTGAAGGGGTGACAGGAACCCAAACTGAGAAGTTTCCGGTTCCCGAGAAAGCGGATCCCTGAGCAGCCAAACCACAGCGTGAAAACCACGAGCTGGGAAGGAGAAGCTGGAATTCCGCAGAAGCGGGTGAGGCGGGTCCTGCCTTGACAGGGGGCCCCCAAAGGTGTGTCTCCTCACTGCCTGTCCCACAGTGGCCAGCAGCCCCCCTGGGGAGACGGGACGGACTCCGATTGTGGAGGCTGCTGGAGCCTGAGGTTAAATCAAGGTCAAATCTGTTGTTTTATCTCTTCTCTCTGCTGAGACTCAGCTGCTTCTGTCATCAAGTTTTCAAGTTTAAATCTGTTTAAGGAGAAGAATTTTTCCCTCCTGATCCTGGCAATTTTTATCCCCATCCCAGAAGCCCTGACCTACCACCAAGACCTAGTGTATCTTAAGCAAGGGCGGCATGCTCTGCCCGGCCACGTGACGAAGGGGACGGGCCCTTACAGACAAGGGCGTTTGTCCTGGATCCCGCTGATGGAGACCGCCGAAGGCGGAGGAAGGGAGGCAGTTCTTATCTGAGAGCCCAGAAGGCTGCATAAACAATCAGCGTGGACAATGCCGAGGCAACAATGGAAAAACCTAGTTAAAGGAGATGAGCCAAGTGGTGGCTCACGGGGCATGGGGGAGACGTTAAGGTAGGGCCAGAGGAAAAGCGCACAGCCGGGCACCACCTGCTGGTCACGTCCCTGCAACCGAGCTCGGACACGTCCGGGGCATGAGTGGGATGGGCAGGGTGCTCTTACCCCACCTCCCCCATCCGGGAGCAGCTAAACCCACACTGCCCTTCTCCGAGCCTCAGTTTCCTCGTCTGTCTAGTGAGGGATGAACAGCTGGTCCACCAGGCTCCTTGGACTGATGGACACTTTAAGACCCTGGAAAATGACCGTCCACATCCCGACTGCCATGGCCCTCAGGGGAAGACGAGAGAGGGCCGCTACTACACCTGGTGCCACGTGTCAGTTCACATTTCGTTTTGTAGATGTGGTGGCCACAGAGGACCCAGGGAAGATGTGTCTCAGGGTCAGGGAGGGTCCACGCAAAGACTGATGACTGCACGCAACGGAGGCAGTTTGGGAGAAGACTCTGGGACGGGAAAGAAGGCGTTGCAGGCAGGAGCGCCTGTGGGGACCGAGGCTTGGGACAGGGATTTGGGACAACATCTTCTGAGAATGGGTGCTGGAAGCAGGGGGAGCTGAGGCCTGGACGCTGGGCCAAGAAGCCTGGACGCAGGGGAGTGTGGCATGGGGGCGGCAGGCCCACCTGGCGTGAGTTCTGGCTCCGTCCCCTCCTCACTGACTGACCTTGAACAAACTCCTGGCCCTCCTTGAGGCCCTATTCTCTTACCTGTAAAGGAAGAATGACACACTGATCCCCCGTTGCCAGAGGTAGAGCCATGAGGTTACGGGGTGCTTGTGGAAGAGTCTTAGCTTTGCGTTCAGGGAATGGGGAGCAGTTAGTCCGGGGCCGAGCAGAGGTGCTGCCATCGCTACCCAGGGATAAAGACCGTGGAGCCTCGGGCTGAGTCAGACCCACCCTACCAGGACACAGCTCTCCTGAGACCCACGGGTCCCGTGACCCGGGGAGGCAGGAGGGAACAGATGCTGGACGAGAACAGCAAGACTAGGGCTCAGCAGGGGCGTCTGAAGCTGTGAAACCTACAGATTCTGGACCTCTCTTCAGAGATTGAAGAGATGGGAGAGGGTTGCTGGTGTGGGGGGGCGGTTCTTCTGAGAGTTCACGGGATCCAAGACCCTCCCAACATCACCGAGCTCGGAATAAATGGGGCATTTTCTGTTCAGCTTCCCCTTTCCCACACCTCCTCCGAGAGGAAGCATTTCTTCTACATGAAAAGGGGCCCCGCGTGCCCAAGGCCACGAGAGCCTGCATCCCATGGCCGCCCTGCACAGCGGAGGCCAGCGGAATATTCCGCTCGGGCGGGCGGCGCACCGGGGGAACTTCACTCTGCTGGCAGAGCACGCAGGGGTTTTTCCCGTGTTTTAAATAGCAGCGCCCAGGCAGTGCCTCGTGTGGCTGCCAAACATTAAGCAGAAGAGGCGCTTCCAGGTCCAAGTCCAGGCCTGGGAAAGGAGGTTGCGGGGTGACCCCCTTCCCACCCCCACCTGCCATCCAGCCCACAGGAATGGAGACGGATGGTAGGGCGGGAGATGGGCCGATGGGCAGTTCCCTTCCAGCGGCAGGGGACCCAGCCCCATCCAGGACCAGACCTATACGAGGTAGAAGCTGCCTCCTGTGGTGGGTGAGGCCAGCTAGGCTAACAGGCTCCCTCCAAGCCCCTCACTGGGAGAAGCCACGGTCCTCAGAACTGGGTGCCAGGCCTCTTCCTCCAGCTACGGCAGGTGACGAGACAAGAAGGGAGGGCAGCCCACGACCGGGAAGAACCCTGGCCAGAGCAATGGGCCCCTCTCCGCTCGGCCCTCTCTACCTTTCTCTCCCGGGGCCTTCTCAATAGCCTGTCAGTTCTCTGAAATCGGACCACGGTCCCAGGTCTCCCACTTCTCAAGCCGAGATTTGTGGAAGCAGCCCTCGGGTGCCTGGACCACAGTGTGGCAGAGGGCACCCGGTCCCCTCCTCCAGGGCAGCACTGGCTGCCTACCCATTTCACTGGCCCTGTCCCTTCATCACCTCCAATCATCGGGGGCATCTGGACACCCTCTGCTGACCCTTCCTGGAATGTCCCCAGAGCTCCATAGGCCTGACAGGTCTCGGCTGGCATCTCACTGGAGGCTGGGAGGGCTCCTTCTCTAGATGTGGAGCACGTCCGCCAGCCCTGGGCCTGGGTTTGCATTCATGACTCTTGTCACCCACGGAGCTCTTTCTATGGGACAGGCGCCAGACTGGGCACTTTAGGGCCTCATCCCTGATCTTCACAACCATCTGATGATAGAAATATTTTCTCTGTAAGATGAAGAACCCAAGACTCAGCAGGTAAAGTAGTTTCACCACAGTCATTCCATTCTCTGTCATGGCCAGGAGGTGTTGGCTCATACTGGGAACCTCTGCCCAATTCCCCACGGCCGTGCCTACCAGCAAGCGAGGGGCCCCGTCCCCGAGTCTTCTTTGCCTTTGGGAGACGGTCCAGCCACTAAAACCCAGGCACGTCCCATTCGGGGCTGGGCGAGTGCCACCTCCAGCGAAACTTCTGCTCGGATCAGACCAGCTGAACGCTTAGACTGCTGCAGAATTCTGCACTTTGGAGGTTCTTGCAAACGCTCCAAGGGAAAGGAAAGCACTCCCAAGATGATCACCTGCCGTGCAGGTAAGGGGCCACAGGGGGCGCTGGAGACACGCAGCGTTCACCTCGATTCTGAGCTGGGTGGTTAATTAAGTCCACTGAAGACCAGAGTAAGGTTTTTCAGGTGACACCTGGGGGTTATGGGCTTGGAGGAGACCCAGCTACCCAAATCCCAAGGTGACTGCACGCCTGGGTTGAATAAGCGCTAGCTTTGGTTTGCTCTGTTTCGTACCTGAGTGCAGGGCTGTGCGTTCTGCTGACGTGTTACAGCCCTGACTTCGCTCTGTAAGAGGCGGGGTCTTGTGCAACCCTCTGGCTGCACAAGGAAAGGTTAGGGCTCCGATTCACTCGAAGCGGTTTAGGACGAAAGGACCAGAAAACGGCCAGATGGGAGGCTGAAAGTGGGGTGGGGCTCTTTAAGGCCCAGGGACAGCTGCTGCTCTGAAGCTGCTCTAGGCAGCTTCCCTCCCCTTGAACCTGACTTGACAGGCGCTAAAGTATTCAGAGAATGTGGAGAGAGGTTTGCAGTGGGAGGAAAACATCTGGGACAAAACCCAGGCCTCTTCATGCTTGGGATGGCAGAGGTCA